GGTCTAGCTAAAGTAGTTTCTATTTGATATGTTACTGACAGAACCTTATGCTTACATTAAAAAAGGTACTTCTAGAATTGATTTGAAGAGAGTTTGGTACAATAGAAACAAAATTTAATGGCATTTATCAGAAAAACCAAAGCTTAGATATTGATTCATACACATTTTAAAATCTATGGTGATGGCAAGATGCAATATAACGAGCCTTGTGATTAACTATACATCGTGAGTCTAATTTAATGGAAGTGATTGTGCCAAGTAGAATAGTTCTGGCTATAAACAGTGAAGCAAATGGAGCACAACAAATGAGGAATAATAATTATATTTTCTTAGTTCTTTTGGTACAACCAGTACTTTCCCCCTAAGTGGCACTTCTAATAATTCTGGAAAAAGAACAAGAACAAATATGAGTCTATACTTCATTTTCAGCAGATTGGAATTCCTTTTATAATCCTTTGGTTCCATATGTTGCTGTCAGAAGAAAAAATAAAGATGCTTTATGTGCAGAATAAAGATAACTTGTAAAAATAGAATAAAGCTACTTCTTTGCATCCTGTGCAATTACAGGTTTTGTTGCAGGTAAGATGATGAAATCTCACCTGCTCCATCTATGTTACACATCTTAATTAACTTTGGAATGTGGAAAATAGAACAAAAATAAAATAGAAAAAGCATTGAAATTTATTGGAGAGTTCAAAAGTGAGCAGAATGGCAATTTAGGGAAATATGCCCAATTTAATTAGGTACCCAAAGAACAAATAAAACAAGACATGCGATTCCTGCCCCACCTCCCACCCCCATGTATGATAGCTAAAAAGTCTTTATAAAATATTTTTTTTATTGTTTAAGATTTGTAGATGGACACAACTCTAAGGCCTCTGGATAGTGCAAACCAACATTTTGACTCCTTCTGAGTTTATGGTCCTTGGAAGTATAAAATGCAAATTTGGCTAAACAGTTTATATAGCAGTAAACAAGAATTCTTTAAATATGCTCTTATTCTAAGTTGCCCTTTTTGCTCTTACCTTTTTTTTTTTTTAATTTTTAAGGCTTGGTTGACTGTTTGAATAATTTTTGAAGTGTACAGGTTCCAATCTGAGTTGGTCACCTGGACCAGAGTTTTAGTCTTCCAAGCTTTTGGACTCATACTTGGAGCCTATCCTGAGGGAACTTTTCTCTCTCCTGAATTTTCGAGGTGTTTTTGTCTAGGTTAAATGAACCCAAAAGGTTGGGGCTATGTCAGAATATTTAACACTCCAAGAATATGGCCAGGAATCTAATCACAACTTAATCTACAATGTGATATATAGGATTAGCTGTTCTGCGTAAATTGTACACCAACTAGTTTTTGAAGCTGTGGGTTCTTGGACTTTTGCTTTTGTTTGCTTTTTCAGCTATTCATGTTAAAATAGGTATTCCCACTGAATGAAACTAAGAATGGGGAAAGAAGTGTATATAGTATTTAAAGTACTCCCATCATTTTATGAGCTAAGGATGCTTTCAAGTGAAACACACTAATTCATGTCTCTCTTTGTCTTGCTTTTGTTTGTGTGTGTGTGTGTGTGTGTGTGTGTATAAGGATACCATGAAGCAAAAGGAAAAAGACGTTGAGTATATCTTTAAGATTTTTAAATTAAAAAAAAAATAAATTTAAAATTTAAATGCTTTAGAACTTTAAATTAATATTAACTGAAGAGAGAGAATTTCGATCCTATATGTAACAAATTATGTGCCATAATAACATATAAGTGAACATATTGTAAAGCAGTTCTATGTTCCACCTTCATGACTTTTTTCTCTAAGGATTGAAAATAAAGGTTGACATATTTTATGAGCACAGTTAAAGCTACTTATTATAGATTACTATATACTTTAATTCACTTATTTAATAAAATATATCACATGGTTTACAGCAATCCGGTAAGCCTGTGAAAATATCCATGTAAGTCTTCATTAAAATCAGGAGTGTAAGCAGGAGTGAAGTGGGATTCAAATTTTGCAACAACCGGTTCTGTGGGCGTGGCTTAATTTGTGGGCATGGCTTGTTGGTCCCACGACTGGGTGGGCATGGCTTGCTGGTCATGTGACTGGATGGGTGTGGCTTGGTGGCCATGTAACTGGCACACCAAATACAAGTGGTCCTCGCTTAATGGCTGGTTGCTTAGCAAGTACTTAGCAAATTTATGACTATCCCCAGAGCTACTTGACCTGTTTCTGTAGTTTTGACAGACACACACACACACCCTTCTAACCCCGCTATTCTTTGATTCTGTAAGGATCTCCTGCTGGAGCAGGGAGTTGGACTCGATGACCTCCGAGATCCCTTGCAGGCCAGCCCTAGATTGCTGTGCTGCTTCAAAGTCTTCTGAAGCCAGGGTTTATGTCCTTCCTTCCTCTCCTTTTTTTCTCTCTCCCTCCCTCCTTCCATGTATTTATCTATCCATTCATGTATCTCATTTACTTTCTCCTCTCTCTCACCCTCTCTCTCTCTCTCTCTCTCTCTCTCTTTCTTTCTTTCTTTCCCTTTCTTTCTGCCCCTTCCTTCCACCCCCCTTTCTTCCTTTCATTCCTTTCTGTCTCCCTTTTTCTTTCTTTCCCTTTTCTCTTTCTTTTCTTTCTTGTATCTTCCTTCCCTCTTTCTCTCACTTTCTTTCTCTCTCCCCTCTCTTTCCCTCTCTCTCCCTCTCTTTCTGTATCCCGCTCTTTCTCTCTCCCCCTCCCTCTCTCCCTCCTTCTCTCTCTTTCTGTCTCTTCCTCCTTCTCTCTCTCCTTCTAAAGCTAGGAAGCCTACCTGAAACACACACATACACACACACACACAGGGGTGGGATTCTCCCAGTTTCGCCCTGTTCTATTGTACTCTGCCTATCAGAGAATAAGCCTGCAGGTAAGGACTGTGCTTTTTAGTCTTTGAGCAGGGTCTTTAAAGAAAAACTACATGCAATCAACAGAAACAAACAAGGCAGCTTAGAAACAAGAGGATGCTCAGAGCAACCTCAGTTCTACAGTATCGTAGAATAAGAACCGTTCAGAAGAAAGGCAATAGCAGGCAGGCAGGCAGGCAGGAAGGAAGGAAAGAAAGAAGAAACCACCCTATTGAGGGCTGCAGAATCATGCAGCCTTTAACATTTCAGATTGGTGACCCTTTCTAGACCCAACTGGTGCTTCTTGTATCTACAGTACATGAGTTTCAGTCCCAAAGATGCTCCTTCTCCCCAGTAGCCCAACCTTCAATTCTGGATGAATACTTCTGCACCCTTTCACTCTTTGTTCCTCAACATCCTTCTTACATTGGATCACAAGCTATTGAACCAGATCAGAACCAAGAACAACAGTTGCACTTATGTAGATGTAAAGGAGACTGGAGACTTTACAGTCTTCAAACCCCAATCCAAGATTGCAGGCAAAATAGGAGCCTCAGTCTCAATACTTTTATCCCGTGACACTCATAGCCAGCTATTCTTTCTCTTCATTTGTGTCTCTGTATGTGGTATTGTTGCAGAGAACCTACACAAACAAAACAAACTTTACAAGAATCATAACATCTTTAGAAATTATCCTTTCTTCAAAAACCAGACATTAGGAACTGTGAATGGAGACACTTTATTATTTACTTAGACTCTATTTAACCTCAGGAATTCACCTGAAGGTAATAATCAGGCAACCCAAGGCTGACAAATCAAAGTTAACAACTTCCATGAATGCACACAAAAAACATTTCAGAAATGTAACATTCAAACATCCCCTGCTCTTAACAAAAATGAATTTGTAGCACAGAAGGGAAAATTCCAAATTTACAGATATTGTAAACAAAAGGTTCCTAATGCAACCAGGATCGGATGCCTGTATGCTGACTTTCTATATGACCCCATTATTCCTTCCATCTCTGTCACTCTGGGGGCAGCCACCCAGGGGTGGGATTCTCTCTTTCTTTCTCTTTCCCTCTTTCTTTCTTTCTTTCTTTCTTTCTTTCTTTCTTTCTTTCTTTCTTTCTTTCTTTCTTTCTTTCTTTCTTTCTTTCTTTCTTTCTTTCTTTC